ACGAAGTCTCGGCATCTTGCCCAGGCTGGTCTCGAACACGTGGGCTCTGGCAATCCTCTCGCCTCGGCCTACCAATGTGCTGGGACAGCGCCCGGCCTTTCAAGGCATTTTGAAGCCTTTTCTCGGAAACCCAAGAATTTTAGGCAAATGTAGTGTAGGAAATGAATGAGAACAGACAAGTGTCAATCGTGAATTCTGAAATGTAAAGACAAAATTTTCCCCATCACGAGAGAATGTACAACCAGAGGGAACAAACCCTTCCAGACATCATAATAGAAAAATATACACTACATATATTACAAGTATAATACGGAAGGAAAGATCAGCCTGTCTTCCTTTTTTTTTGAAACAGTCTTGCTCTGTCGTCCAGGCTGGAGTGCAGCGGTATGATCATACCTCACTGCGGCCTTGACTTCTTGGGCTCAAGGGCCCTCCCACCTTGGCCTCCCAAAGTTCTGGGATTTCAGGCATGAGCCACCACACCTGGCTCTTTGGAGGGGCATTCTTGTTTCTCTCTCCACAATGTAAAGTCTGCAGAAACTTGTATCCTCCCTCCCCTTAATATCAGCAAAAAGGAAGAATATAACCCACTTGGCTCCAATTCACTGACTTGAGGCCATTACTTAATTTTTCTCTCTGTTGTAGCATGTAACATGCATGCAGTACAGCACTTAAGGTCACAGCCAGAGGAGTCTTTGCATGTGTACTCATGTAATGGCCACTTAGATCAAGACACAGAACACTCCCAACATCCAGAAGGTTCTCTGTGCCTCTGCCCAGCCAATAGCCATCTACCCCACGTAAATGCTTTGCTGATTTTCACCATCAAGTAGTCTTGTCTGGTTTGAATTTCATATAAGTGGAATCTTTCTCTTTTGTAAAGTCTGGCCTCTTTTACACAGCACTGTGTCATTGAGATTTACCTGTTGGATTCTCCCCCCTCCCTTTTTTTTTTGAGTTGGAGTCTCACTCTGACGCCCAGACTGGAGTGCAGTGGCCGCTCCCGGCCACCGCAGCCTCGACCTGCTGGGCTCTGGCGATCCTTCCGCCTCAGCCTTCCAAGTAGCCGGAACTACAGGTGTGCGCTACCACGTCCAGCTGATTTTTTGATTTATTGTAGAGATGAGGTCTCGCCAAGTTGCCCAGTTGCCCAGACTGGAGTGTAGTGGGACGATCACCGATGCCACAGCCTCAACCTGCTAGGTTCAGGGCAATCCTTCCAGCCTTCCAAGTAGCTGGAACTACAGGCATGTACCACCACACCTGGCTAATTTTTTGATTTTTATTGTAGAAATGAGGTCTCACCAAGTTGCCCAGGCTGGTCTCTGACCTCTGGGCTCAGGCAATCCTCTCCTCTCAGTCTCCCAAAGTGCTGGAATTACAGGTGTGGGACCTGGCCCCCTTTTTTAATTAAAAAAAAAAAAGCTTTGGTAGAGACAGGGGTCTTGCTAGGTTGTCCAGGCCCTACTTGCCTCACTCAACTGTTCATATCCATTCCCGAGTCCATTTGTCTCCCTGGGTCCTAGATCTCCTAGCTCCGACCTCACTCCCAGCTCCAGATCTCCAGGAGAGGGCCCTCTCCTGGGCATCACCACCAGGCACTCCTCTTCACAGGCAAGAAGGCCACAATCATCCAGCCGTCCTCCCAAGCTCATCCCCTTAGTGACTTTCCTGTGTGAACGCACAGTATTGTCCCATGTCACGCCCCTGCTCCCACATCACCCAGGCCAATTTTCTAGCATCCGGTATTTCCTCCCCATCCCTGTTGCCATGGCCCTAGTTCTGGGAGGGGTCCCTGACTGCTCACATGGATCAGTTGTCAACCACACCTAGTTCCCTGCAGTCTCTCCTTCGTCCTATCACAGGCAGATAAGTCTTAGTCCAAATGTCTTGGCTGTCGCATTTAAGTCCTTTCTAGACCTCAGTCCCATTCAGTGCGGCAGACTTGTCTTTCACGTCTCCTCGTCCCCTGGGTTCCAGCCAAACTGGGCTATAAATCATAGCTGACATTCTCTGAGTACTTGCTCAGTGCCATTAACCACTTGTCTATTCTCTTAAAATAAGCCGGGCTCAGTGGCTCAGCCTGTAATCCCGTGCCTTTGGGAGGCTGAGGTGAGTGGACTGCCTGAGTCCGCGGGTTCGAGACCCGCCTGGCCAACTTGGCGAGACCTCATCTCTACAATAAATAAAAAATTAGCTGGGCGTGG